TATCGGATAGAAGCAAGAGAAACCGAGAACAGGGGGCGACCGGAATGGAGCAACACAACAGTGGACGTCGGACTTCAATACTCGATAGTCGATCACTATTAACTGTAATGTCAATGTCGATTGTAGCTTGGGAGAAAAAAGACAAGAAGAGAATAACTATTGAGAGAGGGATACCGATGGTTGTATAGGGTTTTACAAAGTATAAAATATTAACATTTATATATAGAGTGACTGCTGTGTACTCGGACGAATTCGGATAGTCATATACGATTTTATGAGTATTGGGGGAATTCGACTAGTTACATACGGTTCTATTATATCATTAATTTATTATATGACGGTAAAATATTATATATATATATATATATATATATATATATATATATATATATATATATATATATATATATATATATATATATATATATATAGGGCCGGGCCGGATCAGTTGTCCCTTCTCCATTACCATCCCCGAACCCAATAAATTCCCAAATTTCAGATCCCGAAACCGCCCCAAACCCGATAAGAAATCCCCGAAACCTAGCCAAAAACTGCGGTTTTCGGTTTTCACTGTCGGTGTCGGGTTTTTTTTGCCATCCCTAGTTTTGAGTGCTTCAGTTGAGGGTATTCGACTTTGTTTCGCTATGTGGCTTCAAATCCTAAACACAATTACACTTCAAGAACTTGATGGCTAGCTTCCATGTAACATCTTCAAATATTGTAATAAATGGGTTATATCGCAAATATATGTTTTAATATCCGAATGTATCAGATAGTTTATCTAACTTTTTGGTGAAAAATACAATCCCACAATGCAGATGGTAACATAGAGCCGAGTATAATAATATTAAATATATTTAAACAATTTTATTTATTTTTAGAAATTGACATAGTCCACAACATTTTATAACATTTATGACCGCTTAGCATGTAATTCAATCTAAATGCTATTTAACATTTATCATGTTTTAGGTAATTATAAGCATAAATTTGAATAGATGTTAATAGGACATTTAGAAACTCAATCTTGTTCGCTAGCGCAAAAGACAAGAATCACTCCCTCGTCCTTATTATCATTTCAAAATTTCCTTAAAAAAAAAAAATCAAATAACAATAACAAATTTGAAATAGAAATTTAACGCAAAATAGAAATGAAATGACATAATAAGATTGAGAACACTAACAAGATGGGACTTTAGGCTCTCCTTGATCTCCAAACTATAAATGACATAAAAAAAAATGATAAAATCCCTTCTCACGGTCAGAATAATATAAAAAAAAAAAAATACCCTAAAAATGTTTGCCTAACAAACATAGCAAAAAACGCATTCGAATGCTACTTAGGCATGTCATGTGGCCAAATATAAAAAGTATAAATAAGCTTCCATGTTGGAAATTATAAAGAGAATTTTGTAAGTTGGCAAGTTTTATCTATCTTACATTAGTAGGGGAAGAAACCTTTAGTGGGTTTATATATCATTTCTCATGACATGTCTTCAAAAGCTTTAGTGGATTAAAGGAATTGTCCAAACTCACGTGCGCGCCTAGCCTAGCCTAGCACTAGCCGACACCACAAAATGGCACGATTTAGGCGCCCTTGGTACATCGCACGACACATTGGTCGTTAGGAGTTGGGAACTTCTATTTTTGGCGAATTCGTGGATATAGCAACATAATACTCTGGAAGGGTAAGAAAACGGCTAGCTTGGAAAGCAAGTCGTCGCCCTAAGGTTTCCAAGGGCCGGTCCATGTGCTCTTTTCTGCCTTCTAGGGTTTTGATGCCTATAAATACAGCTCCCTAGGAGCCATAATTTATACTCACGAAAATTGAAAGCTCTCTCATTCTTTTTGTAATTTCTTCCCGGTTTCTTAGTATTCATTTTGCATTTATCGTTTTCCGTTGTTGTTGGAAACTCGGTAAATTTGCATTAAATCCTAGGATTTTATTCAGTTGTTTACAGCCGATAGAAGCGATGTAAAAACCTTTAAGGACAAGAGTTCGATCCGTACAGTTATTCAACAATCAAGATCCAAGATCAGCCGTCAACATGTTTGTTTTATATTATTGTCTTGTTTTAATTTTGTCTGATAACTGGGCACTTTCCTTCTACCTTTCTTACGATAAGATCTAATCGAGAAGGATTAATCTGGTTTTTGGGCAAAATTTAGAAAGCATATTTATAATAATTAGATCTATTATTCACAACTAATCGACATATAATTTTCAATATTATTTGTTAGTTTCCTTGCGTGTCGGTTGGTTCTGATATACAACAATCTTAAAGATTTTTAAATTGTTTATAAATCAACAGACTAATGGATACCCAAATCCCAATTGCTATCTCCACTACATGAACCAAGAGTTTGTCAAGCTCGACCAATTCGATAGTCAGAACCACCCCCGCTGGGCTGACAAGGTTAAGTTCATGCTTCATGTGCTGAAGCTCGCCTATGTTTTGGATTTAAAACTAGACCCAATTAATGTTGATCCAATACCCGAGGCGGGGAAAACTATGGATCCAATGATCGTCTCTGATCTTCATAGCAAAGGGATCTACGTAGAGAGTCTAAGGAACTATGTGTGAATCACATCAAGAACTCACTGTCTGATCGGCTCTATGATCTTTAAATGTCGGTCAAAGATTCGATAGAGCTATGGAGTGCTTTGGAACTCAAGTACAATGCACATGAGGAAGGTACCAACAAGTACCTAATTTCAAAGTACCTAGAGTTTCAAATGGCTGATGACAAACCTATCATAAAGAAAGTGCATGAACTCTAGGTAATGATCAACAAGTTGAACGCTCTCTCCATTTCGATAGCAGAACTCTTTCAAGTTGGTGAGATCATCACAAAACTGTCACCCTCGTGAAAAGACTTCTCTAAGAGAATGATGCACAAATCTGAGGACTACTCCTTGGATGATCTAATGAAACACCTTCGCATTAAGGAGAAAACTCGCATCAGGAACAAGCATTGTAAAGTCGGATCGAGTGCACCATGTATCAGCTGGGGGTTCTGGTTATATGTAATAACTTGTGTCAAAATATATATATATATATATATATATATATATATATATATATATATATATATATATATGTGTGTGTGTAATACATATTATTTGATTATATCAATTTAAAAGAAAGAGGATTAGTTCACAATTAATGGGTTAATTATATACAAATTATGAGGCTTGATGATCAAAACCGTCATTCTTCAATATGGCTTTAAATTCGAGCAAACGAGAGGACTCCTTCAGTTTTTGAGTTAGGCATTATATATAGCTCAAAAAATAGAGTGGAAACCCCACTAGAATTGCAAGAAACGACTGAGATTCGAAGGAGAAATTGGGTCTGGAAGTTGTTAAAGATTTTCGGAGTTCTTCTTGAAATTAAGGTATAACCACTCGATTTAAGCTTGATTAAGTTGCTTGATTAGGTTTGTTTGATTCTATTATGTGCTTTGGTTCCATATCACGTTTCTGTTGGGGCCAATAGTGATTCAATTGATAAAAAAATTAGAATGTTAAGTTCTTGAAAAAAAAGTGAATAATGTCTTACCTAGGTGAATTACTGAAAATTGTTTATGGGTTTATGTTTATACGATATGGAGATAATTAGAAGTGATTTTACATATTTATTTGCCATTATATTGGGTTAAATCAAAAGCTTCAGTTTTTCTGTAAAAATGGTGGAAAAGAAACATTGAGGGGTTAAGAAGAAGAAGACGTCGGGGTGCTTGTTGGTATAACATTCAGAACTTTATTTACAACTTACAAATGGTTAATTTGTAACGTACAAAAGATGTCAAACATGTTTACCATATGTTTTCTTTTCTTTTGTTCAAATGTGTTAAGATTATGGAAATACCATTTTTTCGAAGAAATACATTATTTATTGTTATATCAAGTATTTTCCAATATTAACGATTAAAGGTGAAACCTTGTTATTTAATTATATATATATATATATATATATATATATATATATATATATATATATATATATATATATTTCGAGAAGGTTATTATAAACATCCTATTCAACATATTTAAATAACAATCATTATTTTGGTCGAATGAAACACGTGGATATCGGAACCAAAATGATCGCATAGGATGTTTTTCTTGAATTGTTGCCTTAGGAAAATTTGTTGGTGAAATGTAGGGTGCATGTAGCGTGTCAAGCTTTGGTTAAGACCTAAACGCGAAGAAGGTGAGTTTCGTGTGAATTTTGTGGTTGCTTGCATGAAAAGTTGATTCTAAATTATTTGCAATTATATGTTACCGTTCTTATTGCTATGAATATTTGTGTGAAATTTTTTGAATTATTTCATATAAAATGGTAAAAATGGTGGGTGACATATAGGGAACAGGTGTATTTACACGGTCTTATTATTAGTCGTCGTACAGGGTGTTAGTACGCGGCGGAGAGCTTACGCTCTGTTTATCTAGCCGTAAGCATATTTGTTGTGCCCGGCGGAGGGACTTGTTCCTTGGAAATGACAGTAGTTCCCTAATGTGTTATTAAGGGTGGAAAGAAATGAAAAGAATTATATTGATAAATTCTTGCATATTTTTTATTTTATTGACGTCAATATGCATGAAAACCACGAACTCACTAAGCCCTAGGCTTACCCATTAGAATCTTTAAATGCACGTAACCCAGGAAATAACTTAGCAAGTGGCAGCGGGAATGGAAAGGATAAAGTTCAGACTTGAAGAAGGCGACAAGTTTTGAGGAAGACGTAGCGTACCAACTGTTTAATTAAATTTCTATTTGCTTCCGCTATTATTATTAATAATTGCATTAGTATTTGAATCTTTATTTTTGGAAGTTTTGGGACTATGTTAAGTTATATTTATATTTGAAATTTAGGGCGTTACAAGTTGGTATCAGAGCATGGTTTAAGCAGATTAGCCGTTGTTTAAATGCCTAAGCTTAAACGGGAGGAGCGGTACATCGCCTAATTTGGAATGCGTCTCGTTTGTAGGTACTATGGGTCGTGGAAAGGTAGTTGTCGATGGTGGGGTGTCAGTTGAGGGTACTAGTGGGTTACTTCCTCACGAGAAGTTGAAGGTCGAGTTAGAGCTCTCTGACTCGGAAGGCAGTCTGGAACCAACGACCCCACTCAGCCTCTCTGAACGGGATGAAGAAGACGAGGATGTGGAATCCGAGGTGGAGCCCGAAGAAGATCTTGAGGAGGAGCCCGAAGAAGATCCTGAGGAGGAGCCCGAAGAAGACCCCGAGGAGGAACCCGAGGGAAATCACGTGGAGTACCATGTGGAACAAAGCTACGAAATGTTCCATATACCCTATGTGGAGTACACGCCAACTAGTCCTGGTACCTATTGGGAGCGACTTTATAAAGATGAAATGCCTCAGGCACAACTCGAGATTCACAGTTTGAAAAGAAAGATTAAAGAGATAGATGAACATAGGTCAAGGCTCGTACAGGAGAACCAAATAAGGGTTGATGTTGCTGAGAAAAGTAAACGTAAGATACGAAGGTTGGAACAAGAGGTGTTGGAGCTAAGGAAACCCACTATCACTAAGTTGTGGGAAGGGTTTGTGGCTTGGGCAAAACAAGCCAAGGCCGCGACTTATGGATTCCTAGATAAGGTGGTTGGAAGAGAACCACCTCAGGCCGAGGTGCTGGTCATTCAAAGTGGTCCCGAAGATCGAAAAGCTAAAAAGATAAGGAAGTACTTGAAGGAGGGAAAGAGAATATTGAAATATGATGACATCGTTTATAAAAATTAGGAAGTAGGAGTGCAATGATTTGTCTTTTTTTTTATTATTATTTCTCTTGGTTGTTAGCTTGAGTGACTTGATGTGAACAAGACATATGTCTATTTTTGAAGTTTTAATAATTTGGAATAAAATTTATGTTTGTTATACTTATTGTGTTATAAACATGAATATGTAGTTGATATGTCTTCACGAAGATCTGGGAGGTTCACTAGGGTCACTTCGGAGGAAGAGCGCATCCCAATTGGAGCTTATGTTAGAGCACCAAGATATTTCCAGAAACCCCACTGAACCCAAACGCTAGTCGTGGACGGGGCCAAGGAATAGGTAGAGGTAGGGGAAGAGGCTGAGGGCCTGTTACAGCACCAATACCTGTACAATCGGCCCATGGTAGCTCTGGATCCCACCGCGGTCAAGGTCGAGGTCATGGAAGGGGTCGTGCGGCAAACACGATCACTAGAGAGGAGTTGGCTAATGAGATTGCTCGAGCAATTCGAGACACCTTACCAGATGTAGTTGCTCAAGCACGAGAAGCGATAATGGGTGAGTATGAAGGTAACTTGGGTGGAGGTGAAGAGGACTACGAGTACAGTACACCAAATATGAGTCGTAAACCAAGTATTGCACAACCCACAAGGCATCATGGCAACCATGATCGGCGGGGTTGTAGTTACAAGACGTTCATGAACTGCAAGCCACCCATTTTTAACGGAGAAATTGATCCCATTTTGTCATCAACATGGATCATGGAGATTAAGGGAACGTTCGATACTAGCAAGTGTGCGGATGAGGACAAGGTGATTTATGCTGCGACAATGCTAAAAGGGGAGGCAATACATTGGTGGGGCATGGTGAAGGAGGTTCGGGCATGAGGTAGCCAAGAATATGTTATGGGATGAGTTCCTAAGAATTTTTAAAGAAAAGTTTTTCCCTCGTACAGCGGTTAAACAGTTGGAGGAATAATTTTAAAGGTTAGAGCAGGGGAGTATGACTATGCGAGAGTACACCACTAAGTTAACGGAGAAGGCTAGGTTTTCCAAATTTTATGTTTCTGTAGAAGAAAGAAGAGTGGCACGCTATATATGGGGATTGAGAACAACTATCCGTGAATTTGTGCAAATTCAAAAACCGGGTACTTTCCAGTCTGCTGTTGATGTTGCAGAAGGTCGCGAATGTGAGAAGAATCGTCCAGGTGAAAACAGGGCTTTGGGGAAAAGAAAATGGGATGGTACGAATAATGATTCGAAGAAAGGAAAGACTTCAGGGCAAGAACGTAAGGTTGATCAAATCTCTGGAGTAAAGCAATGTCCTGAATGAAACCGTTATCATAGGGGGGAGTGTAACATGAACTAGAAAGTTTGCTACAAGTGTGGGAAGCCAGGGCATATAGCTACAGAATGTAAGACATGAAGGGTATGTTACGGGTACGGTTCCCCTAAGCACATTAAGTCGGAATGTCCCCAGAGTAAAGGTAACAACAATCAAGGCAGGGTAACAGACAATCGGTCGACGAATAAAAAGGTTGACACTGGTAGACCAAAAGCTAGAGCTTTTCGCATGACGGCTCAGGAGGCTCAGGAAACCCCGGATGTGGTGACAGGTACTTTCCTAGTAAACTCAATTCATGCTATGGTGTTATTTGATTCTGGTGCAAATAGATCTTTTATGTCTACTACTTTTTGCAAAAACCTGGGTAGAAATGCAAAGACTCTAGAACATGCCTTAGAAATTGAAACTGCTGACGATCATTGGGTAGTAGTAAGGGAGGAAAATGATGATTGCTCTATCAAAATAGAAGGTAGTGTGCTACCGTTAAAACTATTACCTATAGCCCTAGGTGATTTTGATATTGTTATGGGGATGGATTGGTTGTCGAAAAACCAAGCGATTATAGATTGTGAAAATAGGATTGTTCAAGTTTGGGTGCCAGAAAAAGGAATGGTAAAGATTTACGGTGATCGGCGAATTAAGGACTCTATTTTGATATTAGTGACTAAGGCAACTCGTTATCTAAAGAAAGGGTTCCAAAGTTATTGGGCATATGTTCTCGATGCCAAGCAGGACAAGCCTGAAATAACACATATACTTGTTGTACGCGAGTTCCAAGATGTGTTCCCTGATGACCTAACTAGCTTGCCACCGGATAGGCAAGTGGAGTTTCGAATCGATCTTACCCTAGGAGTAGCACCGATAGCTCGTGCGCCCTATCGGTTAGCACCAACCGAAATGAAGGAGTTGATGGCTCAGTTGCAAGATTTGCTCGACAAGGGTTTTATTCGGCGCAGTACCTCACCGTGGGGTGCACCAGTACTATTCGTCAAGAAGAAGGATGGGACAATGCGAATGTGCATTGACTACAGGGAGTTAAACAAGGTGACTATAAAGAACCGGTATCCATTACCGAGAATTGATGACCTATTTCATCAACTCTAGGGGGTAAGTTACTTCTCAAAGATCGATTTGCGGTCGGGGTATCACCAGCTGAAAGTCAGAGAAGAAGATGTGTCGAAGACAACCTTTTGAACTAGGTACGGTCATTACGAGTTTTTAGTAATGCCATTTGGTTTGACCAATGCACCAGCTGCATTCATGGATCTGATGAACCAGGTGTGTAAGCCATACCTAGACAAGTTTGTAATTGTATTTATCAATGACATATTGATATACTCTAAAAGTAAGGCAGACCATGAGCAACATCTACGGCTAACACTTAGTCTATTGAGGAAAGAACAATTATTTGCCAAAATTTCAAAGTGCAAGTTTTGGCTTCGGGAAATCCAGTTTTTGGGATATGTTGTAAACGAACATGGTATCAAGGTGGACCCAGCAAAGATTGAGGTGATTCAAAAATGGGAACCACCAAGAACCCCATCAGAAGTTCGAAGTTTTCTTGGGTTGGCAGGATATTATCAAAGGTTTATACAAGACTTCTCGCGCATAGCTGCACCGCTAACTACCCTGACAAGGAAAAATGTGAAGTTCGAATGGAGGCCAGAGCAAGATAATGCCTTTAACGTCTTAAACGAAAAGCTTAGCGGTGCACCAGTATTATCTTTACCAGAAGGCAATGATGGCTTTGTTGTTTATAGTGATGCATCTAAGTTAGGCTTGGGGTGTGTTTTGATGCAAAACGGTAAGGTGATTGCTTATACCTCACGTCAGTTAAAGGTTCACGAGCGTAAATACCCAACGCATGATACAGAGTTGGCTACAATAGTGTTCGCTTTAAAGATTTGGAGACACTATTTGTATGGGACAAGGTGTCAGATCTTCACTGATCACAAGAGTTTGAAATACTTGTTCGATCAGAAAGATTTGAACATGAGATAGCAACGTTGGATGGAACTATTAAAAGATTATGACTGTGAGATATTGTACCATCCAGGGAAGGCAAATGTTGTAGCTGATGCACTAAGTCGTAAGGAAAGAATAGAGTCACCGAAGACTCGGATGATGAAGATTAGCATAACCACCAACTTATTAGATGGTTTGAGAAAGAATCAAGAGGAGGCATCGAAGGAAGAGAAATGGAAAAGTGAAAGGGTGGCGGGAGTAATACAATCATTAGAAAAGGATGGTTGTGGTTTGAAGTGTTTCCAAGGAAGGGTTTGGGTACCACGAGTGGGTGAAGTGCGTAACTTACTTCTCAAGGAAGCGCACATGTCAAAGTACTCAATCCATCCGGGAACAAACAAGATGTATCAAGACTTACGAAAATCTTACTGGTGGCCTGGTATGAAAAAGGATATAGCCTATTTTGTTGAAAGGTGTTTGACGTGCTTGAAGGTGAAGGCTGAACACCAAAGGCCATACGGTCAGTTACAGTTAATGGAGATTCCAGTGTGGAAATGGGATCACATCACAATGGACTTTGTGACCAAGTTACCAAGGACACCAAAAGGATATGACGCGATTTGGGTAGTTGTGGATAGATTAACTAAATCGGCACACTTCCTTCCGATTAAGGAGACATACCCGTTGGAGAGGTTAGCTAAATTGTACGTTGACGAGATAGTGAAACTGCATGGAGTTCCACTGTCTATTATTTTGGATCGGGATACTCGTTTTACGTCGACATTTTGAGGTAGCTTCCAACGAGAAATGGGTACTTGAGTGAAATTGAGCACGACATACCACCCGCAAACAGATGGGCAAAGTGAACGGACAATACAGACCTTGGAAGACATGTTAAGGTCTTGTGTTATTGATTTTGGAGGGTCATGGGAAACTCATTTTCCGTTAATTGAGTTTGCCTACAACAATAGCTATCATGCAAGTATAAAAGTCGCACCATATGAGGCTCTATATGGCAGGAGATGTAGAACTCCATTATGTTGGAATGAGGTGGGGGAGAAACAGTTGGCTGGACCTGAACTTGTTCAGAAAACTACTGACAAAATCCATGTGATTAGGGATAACATTAAGGTTGCTCAGGATCGGCAGAAAAGTTATGCAGATAAGCGGAGAAAGCCAATAGTGTTTCAGGTTGGTGATAAAGTTATGTTAAAAGTGTCCCCATGGAAGGGCGTTGTGCATTTTGGTAAGCGGGGGAAGTTAAGTCATCACTACGTTGGACCCTTTGTAATTAAGGAATGAGCTGGAGAGGTAGCCTATCGATTGGAGCTACCAAGGGAAATGCAGGGCATTCATAGCACGTTCCATGTCTCTAATCTAAAGAAGTGTCTAGCGGACGCCACCATGGAGGTGCCACTTCAAGAAATTAAGGTTGATGAGAAGCTACGATATACAGAAGAACCTGTTGCAATTATAGATTGAAAATTCAGAAAGTTAAGGAATGTGGAGATACCTCTAGTGAAAGTTCAGTGGAAGTATCATAAAGGTTCATATGCAACATGGGAGACTGAGCAAGATATGATGACTAAATACCCTCATTTATTTGATTAGTTCAAAATTCCGAGGAAAATTTTTTTCTAAGGGGGGAAGTTTGTAATAACTTGTGTCAAAAAAAATATATGTAATACATATAATTTGATTATATCAATTTAAAAGAAAGAGGATTAGTTCACAATTAATGGGTTAATTATATACAAATTATGAGGCTTGATGATCAAAACCGTCATTCTTCAATATGGCTTTAAATTCGAGCAAACGAGAGGACTCCTTCAGTTTTTGAGTTAGACATTATATATAGCTCGAAAAATAGAGTGGAAACCCCACTAGAATTGCAAGAAACGACTGAGATTCGAAGGAGAAATCGGGTCTGGAAGTTGTTAAATATTTCCGAAGTTCTTCTTGAAATTAAGGTATGACCACTCGATTTAAGCTTGATTAAGTTGCTTGATTAGGTTTGTTTGATTCTATTATGTGCTTTGGTTCCATATCATGTTTCTGTTGGGGCCAATAGTGATTCAATTGATAAAAAATTAGAATGTTAAGTTCTTGAAAAAAAAAAGTGAATAATGTCTTACCTGGGTGAATTACTGAAAATTGTTTATGGGTTTATGTTTATACGATATGGAGATAATTAGAAGTGATTTTACATATTTATTTTCCATTATACTGGGTTAAATCAAAAGCTTCAGTTTTTCTGTCAAAATGGTGGAAAAGAAACAGTGAGGGGTTAAGAAGAAGAAGACGTCGGGGTGCTTGTTGGTATAACATTCAGAAAATAATAATAACAATAATAATAATAATAATAAAATGCATAAAGAGTGTGAAACGTAGTTGGTCAAACTTCAAAGTCTCTCACCTGACTCATTCTTCGAAACTACATATTACATATGTGGTCCTTTGTTTTCTTATGACTTGCCATTTCTTTATTTCCAACTTACAAATGGTTAATTTGTAACGTACAAAAGATGTCAAACATGTTTACCATATGTTTTCTTTTCTTTTGTTCAAATGTGTTAAG